AAAAAAAAAAAAGAGCATTGGAAAGGGAAAAAGCAATGGTAATTACTGTTTATCTATACTACACTAACTGTACTTCTCCCTCTCCGATCAAATACGTGCTCCAATTCTATACAAGTTGACAAACTTTTTTATCGCTGTACATTATTAAAAAGAGAGTGATTTTTTAAATGCACAAGAAATACTGTGTGTGTATATATATATATATACACATATACATATACATAAATATATTTATTAGATTATTGCATAATTTGTATCATATTTCTTATGCTTAGGTCAAAATATATATATATCTATTAATGAGATAAAAATTTGTTTGCATTCTCAAAATAAATAAATAATTCATTGCAGGTGCAGATAATAATAACATACGTATAATTGGTCAATAATTTTTTTGTTTTAATTTTATAAATGATTTTTCTTTTTATTCCAAATTAGATCATTGATAAAAAGGATGCAACAATCTAATATATTCTTTAGCGATTGACGAATATACCTGTATCCTATCTTTTGTTTATGATCGGTGAAATTAAACCGATTCGTTGATACGAGGTACAGGTGTATTCAAAGAGAAAAAAAAAATAAGTGGTACAATTTATTTACATTACCACGTAACTGTTAGCCTCGATTTAACGAAGAGACGAAAAGAAAAAGAAAGGAAAAAGAATAAAAAAAAGTAAAAATGTAGAATAATACAAAAATTACAAGGAACGAGGAGAAAATACTTTTTAGAGAGTTACGAAGCTTCTCGAGGCTTTCTAATTAAAATATAATACAAATTTACGAATAGTCGAGAAAAATGCATTTTTCGGTTAATAAACGATCTTGAAAACTAACATACCGAAACGCGATAATAAATGATTTTCTTTCTTATGAATGAGAAAACTTATATAGAGAGGAGATCTTTCTGCGCGAGTATGCGTATGTGTGATATATGTGTATTTGTGCGTTTGTTTTAAGATAGATCGGTGAAAAAAAAGGGTGCAAGAGAAGAGAAGGGCGTAAGAAAACGACGAAACGGAAAATAAATATACCTTAGATTATACATCAAAAAATTTAGATAATACACAGAACCGATTACTATAAGCATCTTGTTAAAGAGACTTAAACTGCGTTATATTATTCAAACGTTAAGTTCTTCTATTGGAATTATTAGAAGATAAAACAGAACCATCGCGTAGGATAAATCGATCGACGTCATGTGCCGTTGACCTCGAGAGTTCATGTAGTGTTCATGTAGTTGCATACGTAGCTACGTAAGTACTACATGCATATATGCGTGTTGCTTAAAGCATCAGAATCAGCCGGTAACGGTACGATGATCGTCTCGTCTGACCCGATTATACCTTTACAAAGGAATTATAATATCATGCTCGAGTTTCTCATTTAATCGAGATGTTGGACCACTGTCAAGGATTGTTAGAAAGGGGACGTAATTAAAACAATCATCGCTACGATCATTCAATACTTATTTATATTATTTTATTTTATTCTTATTTTTATTCAATATTTAAAGACCCAAGAAAAAAAATGTCGTTTACTTTTATTCCAAAAGGAGAGATATTTTTTATTTTTTTTTTTCAATATTTTTTTAATACAATTTTCAGATCACGCTTTGAAAATCGTTGACTTAGAAAGAGAGTGCTTTATTTTTGTTAGGTGGGAGATAAAAAAAAAAAATAGAAATTTTTGTTCCCGTACATTTGGTATATGGAGAATCCATCGATCCTCGAAGAAATTCAGGAGATAGTTATCTCTCTCTCCCTTTTGTCTTTCCTCGTTGTTCCGAGGTGAACCGGCGAAAGGCTATTCTTCGAAAATTAAGGACAATGTTTCCGAGCCGCTTGCTTGCGACCGTGCTTGCTAGGGGGAAAAAAATAATATAAAAATAACAATCTCACGTTTGGGAAAGTTCGTCGATGAAGATACGAGGATCGCTAGATTACTACTACTACTACTACTACTACTATATATAATGCTCGTTCAGACGTTTCTTCTCTTCGTTGCTTTTTTTTTTTTTTTTTTCTAGCTTTTCGACGTCAATGGGAAGCAATTTGGTTTTGTTCGTTTATTTTTGTTATTTTGTCGCATAGTAATTTTGCATCGAAAAAAAAAGAAAAAGGAAAAAAAATTGCCAACGAAATGATTTTCAATAAATAAAACACGCAATAATAATAATAATAATAATACATTCTTTTTACATGTTATAATTAAAAATCTACGTTGAAAGATGCAGTTAATACGCGTGCTGCATGTATGTGCGCATGTACTTAATTATTTTTTCTTAAATACATATTTACATAACGTAATCATACAATTATCCATCCCTGGTGACTTTTAACGTTCTGCTTTTTTATTTCTCCCCCCCCCCCTGTTTTTATTTCTTTTGTTCTTTCCTTTTTCAACACAGTCGAGAGCTACTTCTCTTATTCCCACGACCGAAAAGCTAACATTGCAAAACTAATTTTAAGTGGCGCGTACTACTTCTGTACTTCGCTCTCTTTTTGTGGATTAGTTTAGAAACAACAGAAAGAGTAGAGAAGTGAATAAGAAACAAAAAGATAATGTAAAAGAGAGAAAAAAAAAAAAANTTTTTTTTTTTTTTCAAATTTTATTTGCATCTTTTATTAATTTAAAATATGCGTAAACTATATAATTTGTTTGACACAATTTTCTTTTTAAAATGCATTTTTAATGTACTTTATCCGAGAAGTAAAAATTCATCGAATTCGATTTCGTATTTCGTAGTTTTAAGAATATTGAAAATATCGTAGCGAGAAATGACGAATGGATTGCAGCATGAAAATGATTTTACAATCGGAGGAATAAAGAATAATGCGAAGAAAAATAATTGAGGACCGATCAGAGCGAGCGAGCCGTAAAACGAATCGTAATCATTCTCATAGTTACTAAAATATTATCACATCACTATTT